TATACTTCTTTGACAACATTTCTGGTTGGATAGGCCTACCAGAAATTCAATGTCTGGATTATGTGCGTGTCTGTGCCATCGTCAATTAGACATTACGGCATGACCCAATGGTAGAGCCTATTTAACGATGTTCGTTGAATTGTAGGCGGAGACTTAATTTTAGGCATGTTTCAATTGAATCCGAGAATCAGATGCTTGCAGACAAGTGTAGGTCTGTTTCGATTAGGTGTCGAAGCCGGATCGGTTGTGCCCATTATTTGAATTCCATAATTGGAATCTTCGAAGCACCGATGTTTTCTATTTCCGCATGGTATTATCAAGCGATGAAATTCGTCTTCCTTTAGACAATGAACATAACTCTCCTTCTTCCCTTCTGGCTAGTACCTCTTGGTTCGTTTATCGTTACAGTTACCGATCCTTGAAAACATGCTGTATATTACGTTGTTGGTAGCCACTTAGACGAAGCTCGTGTTTTCTGCAAGGTCGCCGTGCAATAAGACCCAGATAACATATGTTGTGAAAAGCCTCATTATCTGCAATTCGCCTCACACAGGGCAACAACCTCTTTCTGACAGTCATCTTCGACTCTTTAGTCGGGCGAATGTGTTCGTAGTCGATAAGAATCTGTCAGGGCTTCGTATTTTGATTAAACGGGGCCACATATTTTGGCGATGAAACATCGTTTGTGTAATGAATACTGTGCCTGTGTTGATATAAGTGATTGCAGGGTGCTCTGACTGACTAGATAAGAAAGTTTAGGATGATGTGATGAGTGGATGAAATTAAAATCAAAATTACAGTCATGAACATGCTGGTTAAAGTCTAGTGTCAATCTGCCAATCGCTTCAAGCAAGTCCATGCAATGTGGCTTGCTGCCTGCCGTATAAGTGGTGGCCTGACGATGCTACGGCACGCGTAGCGAAACGCATTACGTCAATAAAGCGTTAACATACCATGAATAGGGCATCAAACCTTGTGCAGTTTTAGCAACGGATCCAGAATCAGAAATGTTGTCATATTCATCATTCAGTCAGGCAATCAATCAGTCTGTTTTGACGAATCGCAGAGGCAGACGCTTCTGAGAGTGCCTCAGATGTTTCCTACCCACAATAGGTAGAGTTTTGAGTGAAGCCATTCGAGACATTTAACCCCAGGTCATTCTTGGACACCCCCTGGGTCTTCGGCAGTCCATTGTGCAATTAGTGCCTATTTCGCTTTTTTTCTGAACGTAGTCGAACTATTGCAGCTGTAATATCTCAATCGGAGGAAGCAGCGGCTATGCACAATCGCTCTCTGGAATATCTGTACTACGGATCATGAC